GCGCTCCTCCGACTGTAGACTTCAGAACCACTGCGCTCGGAGCGTGCGCGCCGCCCCGTGCCCTCCTCGGCAGCTCGCAGACACATGCCCGCGCTCCCCAGGCTCCAGAGATCGCAGCACCGCTTTGCTCCGGAGCGTACAGTGCACCGCCCCTACCCGCAGGCGCGCGCATCAGTTCTTCCGACTTCTGAGATCTCTGAACCGCTCAGCGCCCGGAGCGCGCGCGGAGAGGCGGCCACAGCGCCGGGAGCGGGGCACGCACACGGCGGCTAGCACGCTGAGCGCCTCTCCCTCCCCCGACCGCTTTCCCGCCCTCTCAGCTGTCCTCCCCGCCTTTCCCACCTCAGCGCGGAGGCCCCACGCCGTGACAGCCCCAGGTCTGCCTCTCGCTACATCCTTCCCTCCACACGCCCCTATCAGGAACCGGCGCGCGCCCGGTTCCCGCGCCTCCGCAACCTTGGTTCTTCGCGCCTGTAGCCTAGCGGTTTCCGTGCCTCCAAACCGGGAAATTTCAAAAGAGAAAAAGACAGAAAAGTCAGGTCACCCCATTACACTACCCGCCAATCAGGAGGCTGGGTGTCATTTTGGCAAGAAATGGCCGCTACGCCTCCCTTCTAGATACAGAATGAAAGGGAACCGTTGCGCGGGGCCCAGGCAACCCGTGGACAGTGCGCGGCGCCGGCGTCTCTGGAGCTCCCGCCGCGCGGACCAGGTAGGCGGGGCCGATCGGTCCCCGGTGTGTCGGGTGGGGTGCCCCTTTAGCCCGGCTTCCAGAGGGGCCGAGATGACCTAGCGGAGGCGAGCGCAGGGCCCGTTTCATTGAGACAATTTTTATTTTCGGTTTTAACTGTCAGGCCCCGGCGAAGCATCTGAGCTTTTTTCCTCTTTCCTACCGCGGCGCGCCTTCCCCCACGACTCCCGGTCGCTGGCGTTTGCGGGTCTCCTTGCTCGCGGGTCCCTGCTCGGCAGCGCCTGCAGACGCCATCACTCCCCCCACCCCTGACCCCGGCCCCCGGCCCCCGGTCCCCGGCCTCAGGCCCTCGCCCCTGGCCGCCCCCGCTTTGCTCGGCCAGAGGACCCCGGGAGGTCCCTCTCGGCACCCCGCCTCCTCTCCCTAGCCAGCTCGCATCCCTTTGGACCCTCGTCCTCCTGCCCTAGTCCCCTTGGGACAGGCAGGCCGCAGCATAACGGAGGGGTGAGCTGAGGACACGCAGGCGGCCCGAGCACACTGAGCAGCCGGCTTGCAGAGTGGCAGCCTCGTCGGGTCCGGTCCTTGGAGCTGGAGCTCGGACGCGGGCTCGCGGCTCCCCGAAAACGGGAAGTCGAGCTCAGAATGCCGTTTTCCGGCGGGCGGGCGGGCGGGCGGCGCGGCCCGGGGGGCCCCTGGTTCGGGAGCTGCCAGCTGCCGGGGCTACGCGGGGCCGGAGCTGGGCCGGGCCTGGAGGAGGTGCGCCAGAAGATGCTGAGCTCGGACCGATCTGGGGAGCCTGCAAATGTGAACCACCTCGCAGTGGCTTCCGCCATGTTACCCGGGCCTAGCGGCCTGGCTGCAGATGTGAGAGCACAGTGTGCGAGCTGACAAGGCCTTAGAGACCCTAAGGTCAAGGCCAAGCCCCTCAGCTGTAAGGAGGAAGCCGAGGCCTATGTTAGGCCGTGCGGGACCCCAGAGGCCCCAACTTCTTCCTTTCCCCGCCCCCACCCCGTAAGGTGACCTTGTCTCGAACCCTGTTCAAACTCACGACAGCAGAAGGGGTTTAGTTAGGGACTAATCCTTGTTAGTTGCCCTGTTGGGACTCATGGCGACCCCATGTATGCACATAGAACTGGCCCTTAGAGACCTTGCGAAAGGAGATCCCCAGGCCTGTTTACCAGGCACCTTTAGACGAATGGAGCCGCCAGCCTTTCCACGAAAAGCCCAGCACTTAACCGTTTGCGTTAGCCAGGATCTCACAAGTATCTGTCTAGATGTCTGCAAATACACTTCTTCGCTAAGATTCACTAGCTCAGAATTTGCCCAGAAGGGGTCTGCTCGCTCTTCACAAGGTTGGCCCCTTCTTCAGTTCTCTAGTATCCCAGTTCAGAAGAACTTCCTGTCTCCTGTGCCCTCATATCCCCCTGTTTATGTTCTTCATCGTATTTGTTGTTGCTGTTAAGTGCCGTCGAATCGGTTCCGATCCATAGGGATCCTGTATAGGGCTTCCGAAGAGCGGCAGGTGGTTCAAACCCACTTTGCAGTGCAGCGCATTAACCCACAGCATAACACCATGAATTCTAATCGTATTGAGCAGCCCAGACATTAACTTGTTTCCATTGTCTACGTGTTCGTTGGCAGACCCCTCGAATTCTGTCTTGCTATGTACCTGTGACACTTCTCCCAATCTCATAGGACAGATGGACAAGTAAAAACATAGAATTATCATTAGGACATTTGGTTTAGGGATCACAGGAGAAGCGCACTTTAGGGGAGAGGGGTGGTCCAGAGAAGCATCCCGGAGGGCCCGCACGCTGTTTGATGCCAGGATAAAATGATTGAAAGCATGAAGAATTGTGTGGACTCAGGCAGGGAGCATTAGCTGTGACCATAAATTAATTATACTGTGTGTGTATGGGGGGGTGGGGAAGGGAGCCCGAGTACAAGCCTCTCAAAGTAATCACTCTAACTGCAGAGTCTGTTGACCCTCCATTTCCTAGTCAAATTTAAATTTAGAAATCTTTCTATATTGATTGAGCCTGTGTAGGTTAACCTGCCACACAGACTTGTAGAAGTAGGGATTAACCACTCCATAGGGATACCATTGGAACGAGAGCATGAGTATACAGTATGCGTTCTAGTCTATGGATGTAACTCGTACACTTTAAACTTTTAGATTCCACCTTGGTTTTCCCCAGCTGCCGAACACCTGTTCTCTGTTAGTTGTGGTATGCAGGGGAATTCTACTTAATTTTAATACTGTTTTTGTTATTGTTAAAAGCTGTTGAGTCAATTCTGACTCATAATGACCCTGTACAGGGTTTCCCAAGAGTAACTGGTGGGTTTGAACTGCTGACTTTGTGGTTAGCAGTCCAGTGCTTATCCTACAGTGCCACATCAGAACTTTTTAATATTGTACATTAATATCTAGAATATGTAAGTATTTAGGCTAACACCATTATTATGTAAATAGAACAATTACTGGGGGCAAATGTAAAATCAGCTGTCTTTCAGTTTTTTTCCTAGTAAGAGGGTGTACCATTAAATTCTTCTGTTTATGGTGAGATTTATGTAGGCACTTGGAGTAGGCCCATTTGTAATAACTCTAAATACCAAAGGCAACCTGGAGATTAGAGAGCAATTGCTGTTGTCTGTAAGTGCCCTCCGTTTTAACTCATAGAGACCCTGTATAGGTTTTCCAAGGAATCCGTTGGTGGGTTTGAATCGCTGACCTTGGGTTACAAGTCCAGTGCTTATCCTATAACGCCACACCAGCACTTCTTAAGAGCAGTTGTTGTTGTTAAGTACTGTGGAGTTGGTTCCGACTCATAGTGACCCTGCACAGGGTTTCCGAGGCTGTAAATCTTTATGGGAGCAGAACGCCTCATCTTTCTCCCGCGGAACAGTTGGTAGTTTCAAACTGCTTACCTTGCGGTTGGTAGCCCGACTCGAAACCACTATGCTACCAGAGGATTAAAAATATGAAAGGCACTGTTGTGCCCTAGGAAAGGTGGTAGAGTTTAGGGCCTTCTAAGTGGATTGGGGAATGATTTGCCATACATCTTTCCAACAGTCGCCCTCTGGAAGAAAACTTCATGTATTCATAGTAACCTGCTGACCTTCCTGATTCTATAAACAAAATAATGCCTCACTGTTTTATTGATAGAGTCCTGGTGTGGCGCTGTGGGTTAATGTGCCAGGCAACAAAGTCCTTTGAGCTGCAAGGTTGGCAGTTCAAGCTCACCAGCTAGCTGCTCCTTGGAAACCCTGTACAGGGTTGCTAAGGGTCGGGATCGACTTGAAGGCACATAACAACAACAACAACAACATTTTATTGATGTATTATCTCAAATAATCATAAAATGTGTAACAACATACACATTAAATACAAATGAATTTTGGGCGTGCAGATCCAGAATTTGTTCATTTAATTTTTTTTATAATTAAATTTTTGTTGTTGAGAATATGCACAGCAAAAATACAGCAATTCAATGTTCTGCACGTGCAGTCCAGTGATACCAATTCCATTCCTTGAGTTGTGCTACTGTTCTTACGCTTGTTTTCTGAGTTGTTCCTCCGCTCCCCCTAAGGTCACCTTGATCTCATCGAGATAGACTTGGTCTCATGGACATAGACTGAAAGAGCACAATGCTCTAGGCAGACATTCTTCACTATACGTCACACGTTCTTTGGTTTTAACAAGACTTTTCTTCAGGAGAAATTTTTGGTTTTAGGTTTAAAGTTTTAACAAAACCATCTCAGTGGTAATAGTTTTTTTGGGTTCATCCAACCTCCCAAGACTCCAGAAAAATTAGGATTTCATGAGAATTTAAAATTCTGCTTTGTATTTCCCCCTTTCTGGTCATCAATCTTTTATAGAATCTTTGATCAAAGTGTTCTGTAAATGTAATGGAGCACCATTCAGTCCTGGTCTCATAGTAGAGTAGGCATTTGTTCTTGTAGTTCATCATATTTCACCCATTCCATCTATTCCAGATTCACCCTTCCTTGTTGCTGCAGGTGAATAGAGTACAACGGTTACACCTTGGATGGCCACGTGCC